ATTTACGTACACGTCCACTCGTTTTTCACAATGATCCTTGATATACATGCACGTTTCTGCTTCCTGTGATATCTCCGCTGCCTGCGATGTCTCCACTCCCTGCGATGTATTCACTGCCTGTGATGTCTCTGCCTGCGATGAATAGCTTGGTATTTCTACGTTTGGTCTGCACCATAATGTTATTATATGTTTATTAGTAATGTATAACAATTTGCAGTTTTGTATAAAACATTTCAAATTATATTACTTTTTACTAATTGTTTTTTCATGTTCTTACCTTACATTTCGTCTTTTGCAACTTAAAGCTCTATTTTGTTTCTCCAACAATAGTTTTTCCGTAGGTACGGAACCCTTTTTCAAACGGCGTAGATATTTAGTATTTAATCCATTTTTTGCCAGTTTTGTCATTATCATTTCAAAAGAGCTCTCTGTAAAATGCATGTCACATACCCTAGCTGTAAATTAGAATATTTTATAACCTTTTTATTGACACATTTAAAACATGATGTAAACTAAATTTAACCACATAAGAAATATAAAAATATTATATTTACTTACCAGAATCGACCTTGATATTACGCTCATTTAATTGACAAGCNTTTATCCATTGCTGCCGAATAGCAGACTCCTTCGGAAATGTAAAATAATTTCCTCTTCTTTTTTGATAGAACCCGGTACGATTTTTACAATGTGGCACACAACAAGTTGGCATTTTAAATAAAAAGAATATTTTTTCATATTCTAAAAAGTGTACTTGAACACTCACGATCATACGCAATAATTATTAAGAAACACGTGCTTTACGTCGTGCTTTCCAGCAAGACACCGTGTAACACAGTATCCATTAGTGTGAGAAAGAGCATATCAATGTGTCTCACTCATACTAGTGAACACTAGTGTTACACGATGTTTAGCAGAAAAGCAACCATATATGGAATACTCGCGATTTTGGATCAAAATTTGATTGGTTCCTGCATCCGCCATTGCCGCCATTTTCTTAGACGACTGCGCATCACCGGAGCGGTTCACCTTATTACTTACACCATGGTTAAACCGTTGACGATGTTTGTTATCGAGACAGCGGTCGTTTTGACAAGCAACAAATATTATTATTTGTGTGTGTGACTTTTAAGCAGCGTTCAAACCTTCTCTGTATA